TTTTTTAAGAATATTATTTTAATTTGCGTGAATCTATAATGCGTACACTGGATTAATCGCCCACAACACCACAGCTGCGATGGACACCTGATAAATCATCATAATAAAAAATGTAAGAAACGTAATAATTTTATATTTATTTTAGTTGTTCGATACATAAACGAAATACCTACACCCACCGTAGGAACTGTAGTAGTAAATAAATTGGAAAAATACAATCATTTATTGCGCTCTAGGTTTTCTCCATCGAGCTTTGAGAGCAAAGCCAATTTGCATTACGTTTCRAAGTTAAACAAACAAAAATAAATCATCTGAATTGATAGGATACATGATAAATTAAATGAGTGTTTACTTTCGGAAAATAGGTAAATCGTTGTATCTTATCTATTATTCCATTTGGGAATATATTATATAACAATGCAAGTAGAAATCGTGTGCACATGCAAACTGCAAACATATACACGCATAATATATATATACATAATATATAAATACATACCACATAATATATATTATTATAATGAAAAAAACATGTTGTACAGTTAACGTGAAAAAAAAGAAAATAAATAAAGACCGGAAAGTCCTGCTATTGCTATTGCAACCTATACATAGGTTAAATTGGTTCGAAACGTTGTGATATCATATAACACATGTTCTTTTACAAATAACAGTGAAAAATACAAGTTGAAATATATAGCTTTTCGTAATAAAATATCGCAGACAATATAGTAAAAGGTTCACGTCAAAAATAATTATGTGCTTCAAAAATAATAGTCGAAAAGTTCAATTTTATCACGGTCTTTTCACACAGGTACTTGGCAGTTCAATTTATAATTATAAATTAGTAAACTTGTAGTTAAATCAAATATTATATCGACGTACAATTTATTATAGATTTAAATAATTATATCCATAATATAAGTTATAAAATATTATAATGCATAGTACGAWTAAATAATTTCATAATAATGTTTTACGTTACTTAGTTTCTATAATATAACATTATGGCAACATGATGATAAATTGATAAGGCGTTATATATTATGGCTATTTACCTAACAAATATTTTTAGCTACACCAATATTTCAAGCTGTTGTTCAACATAGTATAAAAATATATAATTCCAGTTAGGCGCATCTCATTGTGTATAATATTATGTTATTCCATATGGGCATAAAAGATTTATTTTAAACTCACTTAAAGTACACATAAAAATAGTGTGAATCGTATGAAAACTATATATATATCATTGTTATACCGGGGCAAGATAAACGACTATCAGTTAAAAAGGTCACACGAATTATTGCGAGGCTAGGCAACACGAAAGGACGAAAATAGTATATACTATTACATATAATATATATATATTCATTACCATTTCAGATATCATAATATTCTACAAATAAAATATTAATTGTATATTCTATTTCAGAGTAGAAATTTAAAATTAAAATACAATAATATGATTCCATCCCATATCCCACTAAGAGGCCGTTCTGGTAACAATATACGGCCGTAAAAACATACTTTCGTACTTCAAGTTTTCCTCATCTTTGGGTAGTCGTAGAAACATAATTTTTGCACCAAAATAAATGTGAGAAGTTCTTCTAGATTTTGTCGTTCCAGATTTTCGAATTTTATACTTAAACCGATTATATATGCATTTAACATTTTTAAAAAAGTTTAAATTTAAAAAAAAAAATTATATAAAATTCACAAAAAAAGATATCAAAAATCTGGAACGACTAAATCTAGGAAAACTCCTCACGTTTATATTGGTGAAAAAATTATGTTTCTATGACAACCCAAAGCTGAAGTAAACTTGAAGTACCAAAGCATATTTTCGGTCAAAAAATTATAAATTTACGGCCGGCATGTGCTGCTCTGCTGACTATAGCGGCAGCGTTTGTATCTATACTGCACCATAGGTCAACTAGTTTTTAAAAGTTTTCATATCGCGACCTACTCGCCGKTTATAATTTCGCTTTAAGTTTAGTTAGCCATTTACACGATATTTCACAAAGTATGACCATGGTTCTTTACAGATAAAACGAAAATATCAAAATTTAAGTTAAATATTATTCAACTGAAAAAAATACTAAATATCGACGGCTCTGAGCCATTCCTAGTTTCCAACCACGTCTCGATTATAGGCGAGTTCTCAAATTGCTCAATTTATTTTTGTAATTTTTTCTCGTGAAACATTAGCATTTTAGTTCGTCAACTTAGTTGTAGACATGTATATGTATATGTATATCTTATAATACTTTCGACGCAATGTTTAAACAATCATAATATTATACAAAATCGTACACCACAAAACATAATTATATTTTACTCACCTAAAAAAGTAATAATATTTTGCAGAAGTTGATAGATTCCGTTTTTCGAAAAGGTCCCAAACATTCACGATAAAAAACCATCGTAAAGTGCATCCGCCGCCTTCTCATCATAACAACCACAAACCAAAACAGGCATTACACGTACTGCTTTGAAATACGAGGTATCGGAAAACATTAACAATTGGCCAAGYATCGTTCAAAGCCGAGAGTGTACGACGAAAAAATGTGCTTCATGGCGAAGTCATTGTCACTTATTATTTAAAAGCCGTCGCTTAGAATCCAACAACAATCCAAGCCTCGGATCGTAAGGACATGATCGTCGTTTTGAGAATATTTCCAGTTCTACTTATGAAAGCATCGATACAAATTTAATATATTCAATGCGTATTACAGTTTAAGGTACCTAAATTATCTACCAATTTTTTCTTTCCTTTACATATTATTCATATTCAAGCATCGGCTTGAGAACCGCTTAGCAAAAWTTATCCATTTGACATGCCAGAAGTTCACCATCTGCTTCCATGGTGGACTACTCGACGTATATAAATACATAKATATATATACTTAGGAGACTCCCAATTAAAAAATTCAGATGATCACCATTCATCAGCCTCTTTTAGTACCTCCTAACACCTCGACACAGTCCAGGTGTGTCACGTGTCGCTCTCGAGAATGAAGCCTGAGCCTCAGACGTCAGACCACATAAAACAAAATTAACCGAGACCCGGGGTTCATGTCGAACTCAGTCAGCTGTTATAAACACATTAGCTATAATTATGTAGTAAAAATCTATTGTATAAAACGTAACCGTGCATTCACCAATTTAGGGAACACTGAATTTCTCGGCCGGTTTATATTGGAATAAATAGAGATATTTTTACAAGTTAGTGATATACAAAATTACAAACACACATTTATAAATACCTACATTACAAATTTTTTATCATTTCGGTATTATGCGTATATGCGCAGTAAAATATGTCTTAACACCTATTTTGAACACCATATTTGGATAGGCCTATTTAGTTTAAGGAATTTTTATGAATCAACTATTTAAATTCAAAATTGACTGAAAAATAGCCATTAGCCATTTCAATTTTAATAAACAGGTAGTACATTCTTAAGATTCATTAAAATGTTTAAAACCATTTATAATTATTTATTGGTTACTTTTTGAATATTTTATTTTATATGTTCTATAATAAAGATTAGGTAACATAATATGTATATACAATTATTTATACCTACTAATAGTTAATCTTAATAATTGTATGCACACATTACACACGGTATTATAGGAACCTATATCCTATTATTTTTTTTAATAATACAATAGACTTGTACTATATAACAATAGCGAATGCGTTCATAACAGCTGACTAAATTCGACGTGAACCCCGGGTCTCGGTTAAATTTGTTTTTTATGTGGTCTGAGACCTCCTCATTATCGAGATCGGCACGTGACATACCTTCAGTGTGTCGAGATGGTAGATACTAGAAGAGGCTGATGTATCGTCTGAATTTTGCGATTGTGAGCGACAAAATTATATAATATATATATTTATATACGTTGAGTCGTCGACCATGGAAGCAAATGGTGAACTTCTGGCATGTCAGCTGGATAACTTTCGTTAAGCGGCTCTCAAGCCGATACTTGAATATTAGTATATAAAACATAGAAAAAGTTTTTTTAAATCGGTAGATAGTTTACCTAAAGTGGAATACGCATCAGATTTATTGAATTTGTTACAATAATTCAAAAACATTTTTATTGTTTCGTGTTTGTACATAATATTATCTTAAATAATAAGTTGTAATATGTTATTCAAATAAATCTCTTAACAATAATAATAATATATACTTTGTATTTGTAGTTTTATTTTATTTTTTAAATTATGTGCAGTTAGAAATATCCGTATAACATAATAAATTAGAATACATTTTACACATATTGGATGAAAATGGTGAAATGTAAAATACTTCAGAACGTCATAAAAATAAAAATAAATCAAAAAATGTAACACCTAGTTTCTCAAGTTGTAACTAAATGCTGGTATTAAAAATAAACACGACCACTAATAAAAAAAAAAGTATTCAATTGTGAATCTTAAAATCCTTTTATCATATGGGCAACTCTTAAAAATTAGTATTTTGAAAAATCATTTCTTAGTGCTTCCTTACATGTAGGGTATCACGAAATCTCCTAAGAAAGAATTTCTTCGAATTAGATAYAATATTAATTTAGGAAAATAGAAAATGATAAATGTGTATTTCTTACCTTTTTGAAGAAAATTGTGGCGAAAACCAGACAACCAGTAATTTTTTCATTATAAATAGGTAGGTACAAAAAATGTTGGCTATGTTAAATCAGAAGGAATTAAACATAATAAAAATATTTTGAAAAATGTTTTAAGAATCTTTATAACTATAAACAAAAGTATCTAGATATTCTATATCGTTGGAATATGTTGATATATTATAAAATAGGTATCTAATTAAAGTGTCTTTAATATCTACTTAATAAAAAACATATGTTATTTATTGGAAGAGGTGAATATAAAAAGTCGTAAAAAAATTTTGAAATACAGGTGATGAATCCGTTAAATATCTGCATTCAATTTTCTGAGTTTTGAAAAAAATAAAACTGAGCTTGAACAGGATGAATTAGGTGAAATGCTCTAGAGCAATATGTTCACAACAATAACAAGTATTATTATAATATCATACAATAATTTATTCTCAAAAATATCTAAACATAGGTATTGCAGTATTGCACAATGAAACAAAGCGTGTCCATAACTTTTAAGTTTGGTAATACAATACCCATTTTCAAGTTAACACAAATTTAATTACAGAGTGTTCCATAAGAATTTAATAATTTAAAATGGTGGGATCATTAACATATTATCTTACCGCTTAAGTTTGTAAACTCTTATAGATGGCAACCAAGGTTATTTGGAAAAGAATATTTTAATTTCATGAAAAAAAAAACATACCCAAATAAAAACCATATTATATATATATTATGTAACATACACATCTAATGTTAAGGAAACATTTTAAACATATTAATTTTAAATATAATGTTTGAATGTAATAAGTTGTGAGTTGTCATTTTTGTTTATATAWATAGCTATGGGAACACTCCGTAAATATATTTAAAAAGTATACATTTCATACCATCATCAATATTACTTCCAATTATATAATATGAAATAAATAATAATATTATATTAAAACATTAAATAAATAGTTCCAATTCCCTCAAAATAAATATTTAGTTATTCTTTGAAAATTGTGCAGCCCATAGTAATGCAGATATTAACCTAATTATTATAATAAACAGTGTAATTTTTAAAAAWTAATCATAAACATTAAATATTTTATTGAGACACAGAGTGGCCAATAGAACTAAAATGGCAATTCAGATGCCGTRCAAACCCRGCTATTCTCTCAGGACAGACAACTGCCAAGTGTAAGAGAGCACCATCTCTCCAAAATAGGACATAGTAGAAACTTCCATGTGCTCGATAAAATTTCTGCCAAATAGACAAACYAACAAGAACTTTGGACGTACTCTCATATACATACCATACCAAAAAAAAAAAWTTTGTTAGACTAACTATACAAATTCTAAGTGATAAATATATAAAGCATAAAAATGAATGAGTCATTATTGCATTTAGTGTTGACTACTAATTTTGACACTTTTAGTATAAAAAAAAAAATTCCATCATCAAGAAGTAAACACTTGGTAGGGGACTCAAAAATTATGGCTTTAAAAAAAATGTATTATAAATTATTATCATAATTTATAAGTCATAACAATGATAATTACAGAAACAATTATAAATTTGAATAAGATTTAAAAATTATTTTAAGTTAATACATGCTTTGGTACATGTTGATAGGAAAAACAAAAGCACATGTCTTTTCATGTGCAGTTAACATTGCTCTGCATACAAAACCACTACCACAAGCACACACATAAGGTCTTGCACCTGTATGTTTTCTATAATGAATTACGTAAGAAGAACGCTGAGAGAATGTCTTACCACACTGATCACATTGATAAGGCTTTTCACCAGTGTGAGTCCTGAGATGTAATACTAATGTACATTGTTTTGCAAAACCCTTACCACAGAARCTACATACATTTGGTTTCTCTCCTGTGTGTAATCGTTTGTGTAACTTCAAATGTTCTCTGCTGGATAGTTCTTTGCCACATATGTCACATAGACAAGACATAGCTCTTTTATGAGTTCGACGGTGTAGAGCTAGTGAACTTCGATCATCAAATTTACGCCCACATTGAGTGCACACGTATGATACTGTATCACCATGTATAAGGCGCATGTGTGTTGCTAAGTATCGAGATAAAGAGAATGATTTTTTACATGATTCACATTTAAATGGCTTATCACCAGTATGCTTATTTTTATGTTCATTTAGTGAACTTTCTGTAATAAAATTTTTGTTGCATTCTGAACATGTATACTTGGACTGCTTAAGATGACGCTTTTGATGACGGTACATAGACGATCGATGCTGTGTWGTATAACCACATGACTCACATGAAATAGTAGGAGGTTCATTATTATGGTTTAAGACATGAGTGTTAAATGCCAAAAGATTTTGAAATGTGCGATCACAGATTTCACATACATGCAGAGGTTTATCTTGTTTTTCTGTCAAACTATCTGAAGGTTCGTCCACAGATTTGCWCTGATTTTCATCATCTACTATCTCAGCATGAACAGTTTTCTTGGGTGATTTAACAGACAAACGTTTACAAGGTCCTGATTTTCTTTTACTTGGTCTAAAATTAATTACAATATATTAATAATTAAAATTAAAAGTATTAATTGTTTTTACCTTCTAACTGTGGGTGTCCCTACATCACAATCACTTGGTGGCTGATTCTAAAATATTTAACATATTGTATTATTTAATTTTAGTAGGAAATTATCAGACACAATATAAATAACTCATTTCAATTGTTGAAAACTTAATACATYGGAGAGATAAAATTAACGACTTGAGTCATATAACAATTTATTTGTGTCATTAAAGACATTACCATTTGATCCAAGATGCCACGAAAATGATTCTCAGTCTCCTGGATGCACATAAAGAAGTTATACGTCTCCAAAAGTTTCCGATGACAACTATTACATATCATTTTTGGAAAYGGGTCTTCTTCTGAAAACTGATTAAACACAGGACGACAATTATTGGTATTGATAAAAATTAAAATTAAAATACAGTATAATAATATAATTACTAATTACTGTACTTAGTAATATTTAATAAAAATATCATCTCTTACTTTATTCGGTAAACACATATTTATTTTCTCTGCCAGACCATCAGGATCTTCGACTATGGGCGTTTTTGCATCGTCTTCCGTCAGACAGTACCGACAAAATCCAGATAGGTCCATTGTAACAATTACTACGAAGTGTAAACAACAATAATTACATACGAAAAAACACGAACATCCATACGAATTTGGTCAAATAATTTTTAAAGTGAAAGAAAAGTAATGGGTACCTAGCTATATTGTGTATGTATGAATGTGTAATACTGTAATATTCTATATTTCTATTATTTCATCAATATTATTTCGTACTATCATAACCACAGACCATTCGCAACAGATAACATCAGCTTTCGGTTAACCATTCTAACCTCAAACATTTGTTTTGTCCAAAAACGCCCTTTTTTCTGTATACTTGGCATTTTGAAATTTTTCAACTTAAACAATATTGACGTTTTTCATAAGATCAACATCAATTACATATTATATACATGAGATCTTAATGCTATGCCAAACACATTTTGTCTAAATGTTCACCGTTGCATCTTATAACCCACCACGAATTTCTGGCCTCGGCCTTGTAATGGACTCCGACACCAATCTGAAAGTAATTGTCGCTATAATGTTCTCTGGTGCAGTTTTCATAAATTACTATTMAATCGCGTTTGATTTGTTCTAGAATTGACTAAAACAAATAYAAATATACGAAATGCACGAAAACGCATCAACGAAAGTGGCAGTTACTACTTCTGTAACACCAGTACATGGCCGTCCGGAATTTAGCAAACACAGAAATAGCAACCACCAAAGGAACCTTAGCCTTGACTTTCGGTATGATGTTACTAGCTTAAGTAGTACTTTCTTTTACCTTCTGATTCCCCTAATAAAAAAAATGCCTAATTTATGACATGTTTAATTTTCATTCAAACTTTTTTTTTCTAACTTACTGGTATTTAATATTTACCAAATTATTTACTATTCAAAATATAAATCATGGCCAAAATAAAATAAAATATTTTCAGTTGAATTTCTATTTTTACAATATACTGCACAAAATTTAAGTTACGGTTTGATCTAATCAGTTWTAACATTTTTATAAAATTAATGCCAAGTGAAGCTTGATTAAATTATTAATTATAAATTTCAAACGACAATTTGTCGTTTTATAATAACTTAAAGTAATAGCATAAGTATTTCAGAATTATTGCAAAACAAATATTCTAAATGAATGATCCAATTAAAGTTTTTTTTATCTATGTGTGTTATGAGGTGTGTTATTATTACTAATTTTATTAAACATAAAGGTCAATGGGTATTGTATTACCAACAATAAGCCATCCATCACACCACCGAAACCGTAGTTTGGATTCTGTGCTTACTAAAATACCAGAGGTAGATGTGATACCAAGTCCTGAATGTCCTGAACCAATATGTGCACCAATGTCTGATCCAAATATCCATTCGGATGATTCGGGTATTGGAAGGTAATTAATATTTTGATAAAAAAATTAAAACAAATAATAATTTGTCATATAGTTATAAATTATTATAGCTCAGAGATGGCGAGCAGCTGTAGCCGAGAGAGTCTTAGCTGTTCAGAACCCAGCCCTTCGAAACAAGGAGGTTACGATACTCAGACATTTGACAAAGTTTCTAAAAGCTTTCTGCTCAGACTGATTGAGTCCAAGCTGTTTGATATGCCAATGGCCATTATGTACCTTTTCAACTCAAAAGAGCCTGGTGTCCAACGATATATAGGTAATGTTATTTGAATGACATTTTAGATTATTCAAATATTACATATTTATAAAAACAGTGATTTAAATTAATTTTCAGGTGATAAATTGTTTAGTTTTGATGACAATTCAGTAGATTTTTTCTTGCCACAACTAATTAGTATGTACATACAAATGGATGACATAGCAGAAGCTATAGATCCGTATTTGGTACATAGGTATGTTAAAATTTATCATAGTTATAGGTATTGTAAATTTTYATTTGCATTTATTTATATTAATTAATAAATAACAATTTTAGGTGTCGTAAATCTTGTGATTTTTCTATTAAATGTGCATGGTTATTAAATGCCTTCCATGATTTAAATACTGAATCAAAATCTCGTGGTGGTCAATTAATCAGTACAATTCTCAACGAGCATTACAAACAAGGACCAAGTGAACCAACCTCTTTAGACTCATTCAACCTATTAACAAAAAAGACTCATTGTCGGTCAAGATCTGACAGCTCGATGGTCAATTTAAATGGAATTCAAATAGGTAAGATTTTATTGTACAGTTTACTTAATTTACAATCTTTCTTTTTTTTAATTTGTACAAGTTTACTCATAATATTTATCTTTTAATATTTAGTGCGAGAACGAAGTTTTTTAGGGGATTTAAGTTCTGGTATGGCATTTGATAATAGATGCAGTTGCACTGAACAAATAGCTGAGTGTCGATGTGGTGTAAGTCAAATAACCAAAATATTTTTAAAATACAATTTTATATATTTATACTTAACAAATTTTTTATAGGCTCCTAGAATGTGTTCCGAGATAGAATTTATAAAATGCTTAACAACACTAGGACGTGATTTGGCTAAACAATCAACTAGAGAAGCAAAAACTACTTATCTATATAGCCAATTAAGTTTAATTAATAAGAATTTACCTGCTAAAGTTTGGATACCATTGTACAATTGTAATCATCATATTTTATCAATACCTCCACGTGTAGCAGCTGTTTTGAATTCTAAAGACAAGGTAAATTATTTATATTTAGGTATGTGATTGTAAGATATTCAAATAATTTAATTTAATTACAATTACTAAACATTAATTGTATGTTAAATATTTGTATTATATTTCACTGGTAACAAAAATCTTAGATATCTAACCTCAATTTTAATTTTTCATAATTTGACATATTACGTTAACAATTAATTTATGTTTAGGCTCCATTTATTATTTATGTGGAAGTAGCAGAAGTAGAAGATGCTGAACGATCTCCTTTAACTACCCGGGTATCAAATCTTCGCCAAACCCGTAGTGAAGAAAATCTCACTCGATGTGATCCCCAAGACCTTAAACCGGAAATAAACAATCCAAACATGTTTATCGTAGCTGGTGACATAAGACGTCGCCTCACTGTTTCTACTGATATTAAAAGTTCTTCACCCACAGATCCCGAAGACCCTTCTGCTGCTGCGCTCAAAGAGCTTTGGTCTGAAAAAGAAAAACGTGTCAGAGAAAAATCTCCATATGGTGGTCTAGCCAACTGGAAATTGTTGCCAGTTATTGTAAAGACAGGTGATGACTTGAGACAAGAACTTCTCGCCTCTCAATTATTACTAACATTGCATAGTATATGGATGTCGGAATTAGTACCATTAAAAGTTTTTCCATATAAAATATTATGTTTATCAAATGATGCCGGTTTAATAGAACCAGTATTAAATTCTATCTCTTTGCACCAGATTAAAAAACAAAATAAAAATTCGTTATCAATGTATTTTGAAGAAGAATTTAAAGAAAATTCTTTGGCTGAAGCCCGACAAAACTTTATAGAAAGCTGTGCTGCATACTCGCTYGTTTGTTATTTGATCCAAGTAAAAGACAGACATAATGGAAACATACTTCTTGATAATCAGGGTAATCTTATACATATTGATTTTGGATTCATACTATCTGCGTCCCCTAAAAATCTAGGATTTGAAAGTTCGCCCTTTAAATTAACTTCGGAAATGGTTGATGTAATGGGTGGACTTGACTCGGATGGTTTCAAATACTTCAAACTACTAATACTCCGTGGCTTAATTGCTTCACGTAAACACATGGACAGAGTGTTGTCTGTCGTTCAAATCATGCAGTCTGCTAGTATGAAATATTTTTATCAGCTAAAGACTATGATCAAATRTGATTCAATATTAATTGGTTAAATTTTTTTTTTACAGATTCGCAGTTACCTTGTTTTAGAGCTGGAGCAACAGCTGTAATTGGATCTTTGAAATGTCGTTTTCATTTAAATCTTACGGAATCTCAACTGCTATCGCTCGTAGATAACATGGTTGAATCATCATTGCATTCAATCACGACCAAATTGTACGACGGTTTCCAATACTACACTAATGGCATACTGTGATTTTTACACTTTACGTTACTTGGAATACACTTAACAATATGTTCAAAGTTTCCAACAAAGTATTTACATAATTGGCAAATGCTACTTCCAAGTGCGATTTTTTTATTGAATGAAAATGATAATTAATGTTTTGCTCACTAAACCTGGTCAATAAAATACTGTCAATGTTACCTAATACTAATGTTAGAAAAATYCTTTATTCTTTATCCTAAGAAAAAATATCAAATATATCGTAAGTTAACAAATCCCTTTGTACATACATACAACCAAAAACACATATACACTGTATTTGTACTATATCATTATGTTATAACAAATTGTAATTAATTTGTAAATTATTTTTTTTAAGCAAATAAACAAAAAAATATTAATTAAATATCTCTATCATTTGTTATTTTGATAGTTCCTACCATCAAGGAAGTGTATCCAACTAATTTCTTATTTCTAAGAAGCTTAATTATTATTAATCATACATATTTCTTCAAGAAAATAATTATAYAGTAATTTACCATATATTTATTGAATGAAGGTTTATGAGAAAATCATTATATTTTATAACTTATAACCAGGGCCTAAAATTACAGCACTAATAAATGTATTCTTTAAAACTTAATTATGAACTTTAAAATTCCAATATATGCATTGTAAATAACTCTAAAATTTATGAAATATGCTGAAAAAATGTTCTTGAGCTATTTTATTCATTTCTTATAATTCTATTTCTAACTATAATATTATGCCATGAATACAAAAACAATTTAACAAAATATGTTTGATTCCATTCTTAAGTGAGAATATACATAAAAAAACTTCAAATTTTAAATACGCAATTAGCATTTAAAACCATAAATGTGCTAACATTTTGACATGTGACGTCTAATAGAATGACGCTAATTTAGATTTTCTGAGACTTACCAAAAGAAATATGCAAAATGCTTGAAATTCAAGCTCTAGTTAAAACTAAGATATTAAATTTTCAATATTGAAATTTACTAAAGAATTGATCATAAAATATAATAAATAAATATACACTAACATAAAATATCACTGTTAATTTTTTTTTGACAAAATATTGGTAACATATTTATGTCCAACAGCATATTTACACATCAATATCAGTTTATATTATTTATAATACTATTTAATTGTCATGACTTAACTCATAAGTATCTTATTGCTCTAGTTGAATCAATTATAACATTTATATTAATAATAAAGAAAAATAAGTAACAATTGTACTCAGTTAATGAAATAAAATGTATAAGCGAGTCATTGAACGATTCAAATTTGAAGTTCTCAGTAATGATGGTATAACTAGTACCAATATTTATAAAAAAATAATAATATTTGTAATATATATTGATATTAATTTAACATAACATTTAAATTTTTTTAAATTATAACGAAAATGATATTGGTATCATCTAACGTTAACATAATTTATGTAGGATTAATTAAATAAATATATTTTGTTTAATATGTAATACTAAAAAAATTCAAGTTTAAAAAAAAAAATTAGATGTATTCCAAGTTCAAATCCACGTGGTCTCATGAAAGAATGTTCATAGGAGACATTAAAAAGTTTAATCTTAACGCTGACCAAATTGTAATGTATTTAATAACAAGGTATATGATGCTTATTGACATCAGTCAGGCCATTCAGCATTATGCAAACTAAGTAAAATTAGTGCTATTTAATATTGTTCAGAGAACATATTAAATGTAACTTAAGTAACATATAATATTTCTTTTACTTAAAAATTGGTTACATTACTCTGATATAGTGATATTAGTCAATGATCACTGCCCAACACTGAACTTATATTATAAAATAATATATTTGAAACTGATGCAGTAATAACCATATGAATAGATATTTATTTCATGTCACACCATGAAATGTTTTTAAATTAGTCACCATACCATTTTGATATACAAAAAGTATTTCTTACAACATCACTGACTCAGAGACTACAAACCACAAATATCTAAATTATTACTTATATGACGTTTCCATATTTATATATGATATTTCATACACAAATTTCACTACTATATTTGAGTGTTTCACTAATAATTTATCATTCTTTGTATTTAATTTTTCAAAGCATGTAACAATGACATTTTGCAAAATTTTGAAAATATGAATACATTTTTAAATATTAATATTTAAAAATCATTATATTTCACTTAAAAATCATTGCAAAAATCCAATGAGAGAACACAAATAATGTTCTTAGTTCTTACCTTTAAATTTGTTAATAAGTCAATTCATTCCAATATTAAGACTAGCCACACAAAATTTGAATAGCTAAACATACATTTTKGTGACATGTTCTGTGTTCTTCACAATCTTGACTACACAAATATGGAAACGTCCTTTAACTTGAAATTTTGATACAAAATACTTTCTTGATAAAAAAAAAATTAACTACATAAAAGACCAACGAAAAATTAAAAATAAGTAAATAATTTAGACATTCAGTTAATGTTAAAATAATTTATTAACAAAAAAAAAATTACAATTATAAATACATAAAATTTAATAATCCAACAAATACTGCACTGAAAAAAACAAATTGTTTTTATGACATCCAATTCCTATAACTAATTAATTGTATTTTGTTTACATAAAAAATGATTTTTTCTCAAAAGATTTAATAAATGRTCGTTAGTTCCATAGAAAAAAAAACAATAATAAATCATAATTTAAAAATGTAAATACTGGCGATTTGATATTTAACCTTAAGTTAAACAAAAATAATAAAATAGTAAATAACATTAAGACACCATTAACTCTATTGTAAATTAACGCGATAATCAATAATTATTATGCAGATGACAAACATCTATAMATTTTGTTGACTTCTGTTTTATTCAGATATAGTCTATATGAATACTATAAAAGACGCACAAGACAATTAAAGACAGTAAAATATATTTGTATTTTTTATATGTATTCTATACAAAATAAACTATACTGGCAATAAAAAGAAAAATCTACAGGTAACTACTATTTTAAGTACATACATATTGTTTGAAAAAACATAACAATTTTGTCAAATATGTTGTAAGCTACCAGCAGGAGTAGCATAATTGGATTCTTCACTCTCTGAATTAAAGCGACGGTGTAACGATAAATTTACACCATTGCTAGCTGTTCCTGAAACATAATAAATATTAAATTATCATAATAATAATAAAAAAATAACTGAACTTAAACTCAAACATTTTATGTATATTGTATATATAATATATCCATGCTATGCAATACCATTTGGTTGCACTGTTGATCGAATAGTCGGTGACAGCTGTTCAGGTGATGTATACGAAAATGGTGATGACGAAGATGAACTAAAACGATCGTTACTCAATGGAGGCCAATCTGGCATTTTTTGAAGCTCATGCTCAATTCCAGCATAAGAGGTTGTCCAGCTTTTACTCTTATGAGAACTAAACATTTTAAAATTTTAGAATTGCTTATAGTAAGTATATAACATTTTTTTAAAATATTATCTTACCGAGAACTCAAAAATTTGACAAGTATGCGGTCACAAAGTATTTTTTCATGGAATACTGCCAATGCTAAATTTATTAACCCTAATGCTAAAACTACATAAAAGAAAGAKGAGTTGTCTGGAGGTAATTTGAGTTCGAATTTGGATCTTAAAATTTCAAATGGAGAGATAAATAAATAGATAGTAAATGCTAATATGACTACTGATATGATAGATAAACACCAGTTTGATTGTAAACCCTGTCTGTATGGTGGTCCCTTGTTGAAAACTAGAGCTAAAATTATATACTGTAATGACGATACACTAAACACTGCATAATTCTCAAAGCTTTCAATTGATGCGTCTTCTTTATATTGAAAAGGCACAAACCAATCATTACATCGAATGGCTATGAAACTAATCAATTGAATTGCAATAGAAATAACTAATTGTCCAATAAGTGAAGTCAACGGCAAGGCAGAGACAAGYGACGTCTCAGGTCTTTGTTTGACTAAGGGTCCTTCATATGCAGAGGTACGACTTATTGAAAATGCAAAGAGTGATATAAGAAATAAATCAATGTACAAATACTGATAATCTGATAAGTTGTTGTCGATAGAATAGAGCAGGATAACTGATATAAATTGTACCAGTGAATACCCAGCCATAAATTTGAATATGCCAACAGAAGTGACAAGAGCAGCACGACCTTCACGAATTACCCTCACAACACATTCAACAGATGCTTTGCGTGACGTAAATGGACTAGCAACAGATGATTCTGCTTCACTCAGTGATATACCAGTGTGTGCTGCTTTCAAAGCTCCACAGTCATTGGCACCATCACCACACATTGCTGTAATTTAAAACACTGCTGTTAATTAAATTGAAACATCTAAAAAGCAAAGACAAGTAAAAACAAGATTTTACAATTCAAATTCAAAACTGCTAAAAAAAGGATTTTATCACAATTAATTTTAAATATTTAAAAATATAGATTTCAAAAAAAAATTATAAAATTTGATATTAGTTCAATTGTTTAACCATATAATTTTCTATAAGTCTATAAAACTTTTAATCCATTATTGCTATTAGATTGAAATATTGAATATTTAAAAAAATTAATTTTAATCTTCAAACTGAAATGTATTAAAATTAAATAAAATGTAATGAATCGGATTTYAGTRCAAAAAATTGATAACCTACAACAATATAAAATTAAAAAATAATGTTATTGAAAATAGAAACTCTGTCAAAATTTTATAGTATTCTTAAAACATTTTCATTCATTGTTTTAAACAAATTGATTAAATTTATATTCAGTAAGCTAAATTTACTTACCGACATAATAACCGATTCCCTGCAACTCTTGAACAAGTTGTTGTTTTTGATCTGGACTCATACGTGAAAATACAGATGCTCTAGTAATGATTTTTGGTATGAGTTCTGGGCAATATTGCCTAAGCAATGACCAAGTTTTTCCAGTCAATGCAAAAGTATACCTCTGAGAACATCTAATAAAAACACAAAAAACATTAATACTAAATAAATGAATTAAATATTAGATGTTAAAAGGCATAAAACATACTTAATTGGTGTATTAGCAGTAGTACTTGAGGGGCTTAATAATCCAGCTTCTAATAAATCCATATTCAAATTTACAGTATTATCAGAATTGGGTGATATTAGAGTACTCAGTTTCTGTATTAAATTTTTCAAAAAAATAATTAATTATAAACAATAAATATTATTTAAAGATACAAATTATATTAGATGTTTAAATTTAAAATTAAGAGCTTACAATAGAATTTGAATTAATTGTCTGGTTTACATTCATATCAGGTGCTGTGAAATACAAATAAGGGGGCACCGTAACTCCATGCACAGTAATAACATCTTCTGTTTCCAACACGATTCCACAATCTCTTGCGACACTGAGTGCTGTAAGCATATTATCTCCAGTAACCATAATAATTCTAATATTTGCAGACCGTAGTGTGTCCAAAACACCAGCACTTTCCGGCTTTAATCTGTTTTCTAATATAATCAGTCCCAAAAGTGTCAAGTCACATTCTGCTTGTTCTCTGGTTAATCTCTGTGTTTTAACATAGCTCAAATTATTCTTTAAAGCCCTGTAGCCAGCAGCGATCACTCGATAACCTTGTTTGGTAAATCGTTGTAATACTTGATCAAAGTCTGGTGGAATTGAACTAGGATTACAAAGGCTTAAAATTTTTTCTGGAGCCCCTTTGGTATAGACATGTGTCAAGTTAGAAGAAAGATGTTTGGCTATTACACTCATGCACTGCAAACTTGAGCTAAATGGGAATTGACGAATGATACCAATTTCTTGTCCAATCTACAAAACACATTGTATTAAATTTTATAAATTATACATAAGAGAATGAAATGCCTAATGTTAGAAAAATAGTTCTACTTGTTCAATAGTAGTGAATGTGTTTTTATTTGGTGGTCGAACAACAACTGGCATAACCAGATCAAATTGGTTGTCTTCACTAGTCTCAGGTTCTTCGAGTAACCAACCAGTTGATTCAAACATCTTCAAGTCTAAAGGATCACCAGACAACTTTCCATCGATGGATGTAATAGAATGGCATGTAACCATAGCTGACATGAGCAAATGGTCTGATGACATTGAACTCACATTCCTATAGCAAGGTAGAAATTTTGATGTTGTCACAGGGACTATACCCCACATATCTAAACCATCTTCAGTCAGGGTACCAGTCTGTTAAAAATACTTCAGGTATAATACACTCAAAAGCAATTCATAAATCTAACATTTACTAACTTTATCAAAACAAACACAATTAATTGACCCTGCCACATTTATAGATCTTGGACTGATGCAATATATATGATGATTTTTTAATCTCATTTGGGCATACATTTGTCCAACAGTCATAGCAGCAGGCAATGCAGGAGGGACTACAACTGTGATTAGGTCAAAAGCTTTCTTCAATATTGAATCAAGAGAATGTCCTCGAGATACTTTGATAAACACGGTGTATATAAATCCGACAGTAGCAATGCCTGCTAGTACTTGGATGAACTTATAACTGTCCCGTTCAAATTCAAAATCAACTGGTGCTGGATACAATATTGAACGTACCAAAGAACCTTTACTAGTRTGGAAGCCTGTACGTACCACAACAGCACATACTCGTCCCTCRCCATAATAACGAGTTTGTATAACAGATGTTCCACAATATAATGTATGACGAGCATGTTCTTTAATGTCATATTTTAGGTCTGCGTTTCCAGGTATTGTTGTCTTGGTTACAGGAACACTTTCACCTTGAAATAAAACATAACAAATTCATAATTTTAATCTTTAGCAATTTATAATTTGTTTATCTATTTATTTAAGATCTGAAACTTCTTAAGTCTATAATTAATATCAAATTTACTAAATGCTAAAATAAAAGTTTTGTTTTTAGTTTAAAATATTATACTTTAAATTAATTTCATATCTTTAAAAGTTAWAACTTCAATAACTCAAATTCCAATACACTCCCTGAATAATAGTTTCACAAAAGAAATATCTATAATTGTTGTAATACCTATTTATATATTATTTATAATTATTAAAACTGATTTTATTGGTAAAATACACTATGACTGTATATACAGTATACTGCTATGTGAATATTACATTTGAAAATCATGATTAAGTTTTATAAAATGAAATGTGYATATTCAATATTACTTAAAAGTTTCATTAAGAGGTCTCATACATAATAAATTTGTAATAATCTTAGTATTTAAGCACTACCTTTAAGAGGAAGCTACACCCGCATGTGTCGTCTCCGTCTTACACGCATACTACATAACAAATTTTCGTTCGCTARATTCAATATTGTGCTGTTAGTTTTGATATTAGAATGAATTGAGCCATTATCAAACTTTTAGGTAGGAACATTATCTGTGTTCTCATGTTGGTTTCTTACAATATTTTAATTTTTAAATGAGTTATGATCATGTAAGTGTGAATATTTTAAAATTCACATAACTCATTTAAAAATTAAAATATCGTAAAAAYCAACATGAGAACACAGATAATGTTCCTACCTAAAAGTTTGATAATGGCTCAATTCACTCTAATATCAAAACTAACAACACAATATTGAATCTAGCGAATGAAAATTTGCTATGTAGTACKCGTGTAAGACGGAGACAACTCATGCGGGTGTAGCGTCCTCATAATAAATTATTTCTTATATATTTAACCCATTATGTTAAGATGTAAAAAAAAATTGTAGGTATTAACATATATGTAGTATATAACATAAATTTTAAAGTAAAATAAAATAAATTTAATGTTAATCATTAAAATACAATAAAATTAACTTTAGTCATCATCAATTTATCATTTTTCATGTTGTAAATTACATGTAAAATAATGTATATCATTATACAAACATGGTATAGCATAGTACTCATGGCATTAAATTGACACTAAAATTACATATAATCCAATATTATAATCYATAAAGTTAAATTTATCCATAACTTTAATTTATTATATAACATCAACTAACCTGTAAGCATACTTTCATTAACAATACAATGTCCTGTGAGAAGGACTGCATCACAGTGCATAACACAACCATGACTAGGGATAACCAAAACATCCCCTGGAACTAACAATTCTGTAGGAACTGTAATTACATTATTCTCTCGTAGTACATTAGCAACATCGCTGGAATGCACGGTACTCCTAAGGTTCCTTTGATTCTTCCTTGTTTGTATAACAGCAGTAATAATACTGACTAATGACATAACAAATATAGCTGAGGCATATGATAAATAATCGTCAAGGTACCAAAGTATAAATGAAAATATTTCAAATACATAAAATGGATTAAGAACTTCAGTGAAAATCAGTGACCAAATAGTCTGCAATGGAACATCAATAAYGTTTGGCCCGTAGACAGCACGACGCAGATATTGATCTCGGGCAGATATTCCCCTTTGTTCATGCAATTCRTGGGTATCTATACCACAGTCAATTCCAGTCAACAAATAGAACTCCTTTTTGTCCACATCCCAGATGAATCTGTACTTCTTGAAGTCGAATCGTCTTATTTCATCCAGGTCTAAAATAAAAGTAAAAATATTTTATTGAAACAACTATCAATTAAACAATTTAATTATTTTATATACCTTTGAAAATTCCACTTGGTGTTCGCACTGGTAGTTTTGCTGAATCGCCAAGTGATTTGAGTTCAAAGTACGCCTGTCTGTCCCAGCCATTCACGCGGCATGCTTCGCTGTTTGAACACAATACGGATAGACACATTGGTAACAGTATAATCGTCTTGCACTAACTGGATAGGCAACAAACAATAGGCCCACTATTATTACGTCAAGCGATAAGGAGAGCCCTATTGGTCCACGAGGAATCCTCTCCTTGATCGCACTGGAGTATAAAACTAAATAAACCACGTACCTTGGTAATAGCGAAGAGGAATTGATGATTTCTATTTCTGCTACATGTTTACTTCTATGATCTTTTTTATATGTTTCCTAAAACGACAATATAAGATACTAAAATGATAATCAATGTATTAACAAACAAAATAAGATGAACATACCACCACTAAAATTTTTTCGGCAGTTTGCAATGAACATTTCATATGGGTTGAAAACAACATTAATGTTGGCCACCAATAAAAAATTAAACGAAGAGCGCCACATGTTATGATTGTCACTACCCAAGACATAATTGTATATCCCATGTGTCGTCGGTAGCCGTGTAACTCCTGTAAAATGAATATACGCCTATATTTTATAATACAACAGGGGTCACCAATTAATATTTTCTGTGGGCCACATTAAGAATTCGGAAAATTCTCGCGGCCCAAAAAAATTCAAAATAATAATATTTATTAGAATATGCCGGGTT